GTTCCCATCAGAAAATTGGGAACATCAAGTGATCTGATGTTCCAATCACTGAAATATAAGAAAAACAGTTAAAAAATGAAATGAAAATATGAACAAATAAAAAAAATAAACTATACTCATGAAATGAACGGTACGGTTAACAACAAAGCTCAATTCCAACGCAATTCACACAAAATAAATAATCAAAATGAAATAAATCAAAATCTATGAAATTTCAATTTACCAATGCCATCAGAAACATTGAAATGGAATTGTAATATATTTAGTATAGTACGTGCATTGCTCTTACATGCAACATGGAGCTGTTTTTCGAGAAAACCATAATTTTAATTTTAAAACCATAATGTCACAGGTGTGGCATCTCTACTTATACTTACGAAATGAACGGTATAGTAAACAACACAGTTCATTTCCAACACAATGTCACACAAAATAATAAAATAAAAAATAAAATAAATAGAAATCTATAAAAATAAAATTTATCAATACAATCGGAAACATTGAAATGGAAATCGTGACATATTTAGTACAGCGTGCAGGTTGCTTTTTTGTGCAACAGATGGCGCTGTTTTCAAAAACGCATGTTTTTATCTGTCAGAGGGGTGGCATCTAAATAGTAGGTCTATAAAAAGACGTGCCTATTCCAATGTAACGTTGTGTCAAAATTCCAAAGCATTCGGTGAAGAACTTTCGGAGATTGCAGCGTGTGTTGCTCTTACGTCCTACAGATGGCGCTGTTTAAAAAAAAAAAAATGTTTTTTTCCTGTCATACGTGAGGCATGGATATAGTAGATATATAAAAAGATGCGCCTATTCGAATGCAACGTTGTGTCAAAATTTCAAAGCAATCGGTAAAGAGGTTTCGAAGATTTCCCTCACATGAAAAACCACAGTTTTTAAGAAAAAACATGTTTTTTTCCCGTCACAGACGTGACATCTATATATAGTGTGTATATAAAAACCTGCTCGGATGCGAATGGAACGTTGTGTGAAAATTTCAAAGCAATCGCTGAAGAACTGTCGGAGATTAGCGATTATGCACAACGAACATTTCCATTTTTATTTATATAGACTAGTCACTCATGCAGTAGAGGGATTCCCTTTGATGACATGAAACGTACTTGGTGACTGTGCGCGTGTCAAGGAAAATTTAGATGTGCAAAGATGTTTCGGAGTGGTATTTTAGTCAAGAAATAATACAAAGATTGTTTATTGACTAGTGAGAGAAAGAAGAAGAGGCTATGAGGTATATAGTGTGATCACACAGTTAACAAAAAAATATTAGAATTTGTAAGTAGCGATCACGTCTCCCCAAGCTTTTCAATCTTCCCTCTTCTTCTTTTTAATCTTCGACCCTCTTAGTTCATGGTCTGGTGTTTCACTTTTCGCTTAAAATTATAGCTACACACACGTTATGAAATGGTTATCATGTTCCGTTTGACTGACTGTCTCTCCACATAGATAGTCGTTGCTCAATACTAAATGAAGCTGTACAGTACTTTAAAAATAATATTTTACGGTTGTGGGTTTTGTTTATATTACGGATTGAATTTTTTTTATAACTAACTAAATGTATTTGGGGTACATGTCCGAGTTGGATGTCTGACGACACTGTTTTTTACTTGTGCAGAATAAACACACTTATATGAGATGAACATAACTCATATGTTCAAAAAACCAAATGCCAAAAAACTTGATCATCCCCACCGCTAACAAGACAAGACAAGAATTTATTTATTTATTATTATTATTTCAAGATGAAAGAACTTAAACTACAGGCATCCTATCACACACGATACTATAATGACCAAGGGAGACAGATAGGCTGAGAACTCATCCATGTGGGATGAAGAGGAGATGGACCGGATGATGAATGGATGAGGATTGGAGACCATACACACCAACTCTTGGATTGGTATTGTTACATTTTTGTCTCACAGTGCTCTTCTGTTGGTAAAATTTACAAGGAATAAATGTAGAACGAGACACAAAACGTTTATTTGTTATGGATTGAGATTTTTTAAAGAGTTGGTTGTCTGATTGACGACAATGTTTTTTTACTTGTGTGGAATAAGCAGATTGATGTGACCCAACCTTAATCTGGACATTGTTACTTCAATTTATCGGCTTATATATCTGATATGTTTCCAAGTTTCTCAAGGAAAAATACAGACACTCAGATGATGTTATGGTGACAATGAATAGAGCGGAAACGGATGAGCAGGTGAATGAGGGGGGAAGGAATAGAAGGGGTAGACAGCGAGAGAGTACCTCCTCCGGGGTAAAGTTTTTTTTTTTTTTTAATTTTGTTACTAAATAATTATTAATGACGAGACAACGAAAGTCTCCATTCGAGGATGTGATCTGTATAATAATATCGCTCATCTCTTTGTTTTCCCTGTTAGTTAGTTTAATGCTGATATTGTGACCGAGGGAATTGACTTAAGGAATTGACAGATGATGGAGGCGCAACAGTTGTTGGAGAGAGAGACTCCTGGAGCAAGATGGGGTTGACACCAGATGTGGTGGCGATGGTATGGGGGGTAGGAGCACGTGTGCTTCCTCAAATGTCTCACTTCCCTTCCTTCTTCATGTTGACAAGGCTGTAATGGGGTGGGATACACGTTTGGTCTGATGGAGGGCTGACAGAGGAGAGTTTAGGCTAGTGTGCGTTTTAAGACTCCAGGCTTAATGTGAGTGTTTGTGTTCGACCTCTGGTCTACAAATGAACCCAAATTTTTTTGTTTTTTATAATCGACCTCCAAGCGTTTGACATGTGGCTGTGGTGGTAGGCCTAGCACTGGTTACACGCTCCTCCTTCTGTACTGCAAAAACCTATCAACATGAGGTACAGAGGTAGAGAGAGGTGGAGAGAGTGAGAGGTATAGATATATTATTACTGTAAAATGTCTTAAGTGATTAATAAAAGAATAAGATTACATCAATGTGTTTACTTCCCCCAACTATTGTTCTGATTACGGGGAAATTAATGTACTCTGATGACCCCCCCCCCCCAAGAGGGTTGACAAGTGATTGATGACTGGCAGGTGTGGGAGGGGGAGGTAATAGAGAGGACCCTTTGCTCCTAAAGTTCAGTAACGTCACATCCGGGGCAACGTGAAGGTCTCTCTGGTGCCACTGTTGACTTCCACTATTAGCCCGAGCAACCACATCCTGCCTTGAGATATTACGAAAAAATGTAGATGTACGCTGAGATATATATTGTTTAAGTTCTGTGTGTCATGTGTGAGAAAGCCCTCTCCCATGTGCTGTTGAGCTGTGGGTAAGGAGGATAGAAACAAAATGGTAACACCCACTACCTTCAGATTTACTTATTTATTTATTAACAAAAAGGAACATTGGGGATTAACGGAAGAACATAGAATTTTAGTTGAATTTACGTTCTTGTAAAGCCACTAGCACGCATAGCATCTCGGACAAATTGACAAGTCTACATCTTGAGGTTATCTTGAGATGATTTCGGACTTAGTCCCTGTCTACAGTAGCCCGAACCTCGAACAGGCCTCCACCCCCCAGGAAGCAGCCCGTGACAACTGACTAACTCCCAGGTACCTATTTACTGCTAGGTAACAGGGGCATCAGGGTGGAAGAAACTCTGCCCATTGTTTCTCGCCGGCGAGAGATCGAACCCGGGACCACAGGATTATGCGTGCAGTGTTCTGTCCGCTCAGCCACCGACTCCCCTAACATGCCTGTGTGTAATGTCTGGCAACTGTGTTTCTTCTGCTGTAGACCTGACATACAGCACACCTCCGTTATTTAACGAGTGTGGTTTTATCACCGGAATCTGAGCGAAAGGGGGAGGCGGTGGACGCTGTTAGCTCACCACTCATGGCGCGTGTCTGACACCCGTCCAGCCATCCCCTCCCTCACTCCCCCTCAACTATTTTTTCCCACGCCGCCCTAACTAAACCTTCCACATACTTAACCCAGTCTCCTAGGTGTGGTGTTGCCATGTGGTGCCAGCATACTTAACTCTAGCCCACCTTATGCTTAAACTCAGTAAGCATGCACACCTGTATAACTCTGCACTTCCATTACACACAATTTAACATACCATTACTTACACACCTGCCCACATGCACACCATTCAACACTGAGGGTCGTAGAACCCCCCCCGGAGGCCATAGACCCTGTGCGGGTGGGGCACCTCTCACCCCTTGAGACGCGACCCACACGCTCACCTGGCTCAGGTGCACCCACAGGCACACCTGAGCCAGGTGTTGCGCACGGTCTACGTGAACGGTCAATTTCACTATTAGGGACAACTTGGCTTTATATATTTTAATTCCACTACTATACCGTGAGGCGTCCCTGGTAAACCTTGCAATATCAACTGATTGCAGAACAAAAGCTAAAGTCGAGTCGCCAGAAGGGCAATAAAGAGAAACAGGAACATTTGTGGAAGCTTTGGGACCGTTAAGAGGAAAAACAGATAAGCACCTCACAGTTCCTCAAGGAATGTTCGCGTTTTATCCCAGGAAGTTCCTGAACTAAAATTAGAAAACAGCATTCTATTTACTGGATGTGATTTTACTTATATAATTATAAGGTTGTTATTATTTCTAATAATCAATGTCTTCTCTGATAAGAGTCCAACCACTTCGGCTTGGTTACAGCAACGGTCTCGCTTCATGCAGGTCGGCGTTCAATCACTGACCATCCAAGTGGTTGGGCACCATTTCATCCCCCCCCCTGTGCCATTCCAAATCTTTAACCTGACCCCTTTCAAGTGCTTTATAGTCTTAATGGATTGGCACTTTCCCGCTGATAGTTCCCTTCCCTTCCCTAGTCTGATAAGAGTGTGCTTTGTTAACAAACACAGTAGTACGAACAGTGAGCTAAGCACTGTTAATGGAAGCGCTAATTATATGATCAAGTGCCATGATATGAAGGTTTCACTACATAATGACGTTTAAGGATGGTAGTAAGGTCTTAATAGGTCTTCGTGTGGGGTAGCGCTGGCCCACACAAGTTACCCAGGATACTATATACTTCTGCACCAAGTGAAACTAAGAGTACCGCTTTCTTATTGGCGTACTTCCTAATTTCACAGTACTGCAAGTTTGCTTCCAACAAGCTGAGCCACAGGTCCAACGAAATCTTGGAAGAACCAAACAGCTCCATTGAAATAAGTGCTGGAATAACCATGGCCACGGTGGGTTGCACAACTCACTGTTGTCTTAAATTCATCCACCCATCCACACAACGTACTCCTCACACCTCATCTTGAACCCGGGCTCTCTGCTTTAGGTGTTAATAATCCATACACCTCGTCACCACTTCTTCTTCTTGATAGTAGGTGTAGTTTGCATGAAGGGTTCGTCCTCCCGATGACTGCACCAGTACTGATGTTAGAAGATGGTGTATGTTGAGAATGATAAGGGTCAAAAGTGCTGGTTGCGAGGAGCTGTAGATAGAGGACCAACGACGAAAACAGAGGTGGCCGTTCATGACGCCTACGACTACCAATATTTTTCCAGGAACTCCCGCACCGGAAAGCGCAAGCAGTACACTTCCCAAATCAGCATTTTGTTAGCGGGTACCCGGCCATCAGGCGACGCCCTTGCCGGAGGCATCCAATCAGGCAGCCCATAAACAAACTCCCTCGCCCGCGGCACCCAGATAGTGGAAGAGCACCACGGGATCGGAAGCACCCAGGCATCCCGAGAAAGGCCCAACACCGGACCCTCACGGGTCACGACCCCGGCAGCTGGGACAAGGCTCCCCAAGACCGGGGCAACGAAGGAGGGGGAAAGGCAGGGGACACAGGCGTGGCATAGTCCCCGCCACTGGGCACAGGAGCCGAGCGCTAATCCTTCCTCAGCACCATGACGAGGTCCCGATCATCAGGGGAAACCCCCGTACTGTATGGATCCTACAGCAGGAGGCACAGAAAGCAACTCAGAGCCCTTCACAGCCCCGTTGCCTACAGCGGGGGACGCCGGAGCACTATACTCCCCCACCTCCTTCCAAGGCACACCACTGTTATATGTAGGCCGGAAGAGAAACAAACTTTCTCATCGCGTGCTTTATTATGAACAACAACAAAGACTCACTGGTATACGTTACAAAACTTACTATTTACAATGCTTATAAACAAAAGAATATCTGCTCAACACATGCTACACCTAACCTCTGTAGTACTTAATCCTACAAAAAACCTAATCATAACATATACATAAATAAGACACTAAACTTCAGCACCTACAAATGGTCACATGAGTGCACCACTTGATGATCAAGTGGTTAAGGTCTCCTGTACACCAGTTGCGTAGTGCTCCTGGCAGTTTGGGTTCGAGTCACTTCTGGGGAGTGGAGCTTTCAGTTGCATATATGCCTGAGGATCATTCAGGCTTGTTCGCATTTGTGTTGCTCACTTGGCCACACAAAATGAGGTGATTTGATAAAATCAGCTATGCCCAAGACTACCATCAAAGTGCCATCGAAATAATAAGCAAATAGCTTTGGCGACCATCATATTTTGTACGGTGACTGATGGGAGTGTGGTTAAGGTCTCCTGTATACCAGTTGCATAGTGGTCTTGTCAGTATGGGTTCGAGTCACTTCTAAGGTGTAGAGTTTTCAGTTGCATATATATGCCTGGGGACCATTCAGGCTTGTTAGCCTTTGTGTTGCTCATGTAGCCCAACAAAATGAGATGATTTGATAAAATTAACTATGCCCACGAAAACCATCAAAGTGCCATCGGGATGATGGGCAAATAGCTTCGGCTACCATCATCTTTTTTACGGCCACTAATGGTCGAGTTGTTAAGGTCTCATGTAGACCAGTTGTAAGTGCTCCTGGTAGTATGAGTTTGAGTCACTTCTGGGGTGTGGAGTTTTCAGTTGCATATATGCCTGGGGACCATTCAGGCTGGTTCGCATTTGTGTTCCTCATGTGGCCCCACAAATAGAGGTGATTTGATAAAATTAACTATGTATAAGATTACCCATCAAAGTGCCGTCGACATGATGGGCAAATAACCTCAGCTACTATAATCCTTTGAACGGTCACTGATGGTCGGGAGGTTAAGGTCTTCTGTACACCAGTTGCATAGTGCTCCTGCTGTATGGGTTTGAGTCACTTGTGAGGTGTGGAATTTTCAATTGCATATGTGCCTGGGGAAAGTTCAGTCTTGTTTGCAATATTGTTGCTCACGTGGCCCCACAAAATGAAGTGGTTTGAAAAAATTAACTATGTCCAAGATTAACATCAAAGTGCCATCGGCATGATGGGCAAATAGCCTCGACTACCATCATCTTTTGTACGTTCACTCTTCGTCGTGTGGTTAAGGTCTCCTGTACAAAAGTTGCATAGTGCTCCTGGCAGTATGTCTTCGAGTCACTTCTGTGGTGTGGAGTTTTTCAGTTGCATATATGCTTGGGGGACCATTCAGGGTTGTTTGCCTCTGTGTTGATCACGTGACCCAAAAAATTGAGGTGATTTGATAAAATTAACTATGCCCAAGAATACCATTAAAGTGCCGTCGGGATGATGGGCAAATAGCTTCGGCTACCATCATCTTTTGCACAGTCACTGATGGTTGACTGGTTAAGGTCTCCTTTACACCAGTTGCATAGTGCTCCGGACAGTACGGGTTCGAGTCACTTCTGGGCAGTGGAGTTTTCAGTTACATATATGATTGGGGACCATTCTGGCTTGTTTGCGTTTTTGTTGTTCATATGGCCCCACAAAATGAGGTGATTTGATAAAATTAACAATGCATAAGATTACCATCAAAGTGCCATCGAGATGATGGGCAAATATTCTCGGCTACCATCATCTTTTGTACGGTCACTGATAGTTGAGTGGTTAAGGTCTTCTGAACACCAGTTGCATAGTGCTCCTGGAGTATGGTTCCGCGTCACATCTGGGGTGTGGAGTTTTCATTTGAATATATGCCTGGAGACCATTCAGGCTGGTTCGCATTTGTGTTCCTTGTGTGCCCCCACAAAATGGGGTGATTTGATATAATTAAGTATGCCCAAGATTACTATCAAAGTGCAATCGGGATTATGGACAAATAGCCTCGGCTACCATCATCTTTTCTATGATCACTGATAGTCGGGAGATTAAGGTCTCCTGTACACCAGTGGCATAGTCCTCCTGGTAGTATGGGTTCGAGTCACTTTTGTGGTGTGGAACTTTCAGTTGCATATATGCCTGAGGACCATTTAGGCTTGTTAGGATTTGTGTTGTTCATGTGGCCACACAAAATGAGGTGATTTGATAAAATTAACTATGCACAAGACTACAATCAAAGTGCCGTCAGGATGATGGGCAAATAACCTCGGCTACCATCATCTTTTGTACGGCAACTGATGGTCGAGTGGTTAAGGTCTCCTGTACACAAGTTGCATTGTGCTACTGCTGTATGGGTTTCAGTCACTTGTAGGGTGTGGAATTTTCAGTTGCATATGTGCATATACTGTATTTAATAATTATCACTCTTCCTTATACTTGGTCGTGAGGGAGGCCGGCCTCGGGTGAAAAGGGGCTGTGACGATCCTTGTCTGGAACCCGTAGGTGAGGGGACCGGGACGTCCACCTCCCGAGGGTCGTGCGGCCCAGGCTCTGCTTCAGGAGGTTGGGGTCGTTCTTGCCCTTGATGGGGTGGTTCTTCTTCGGCCCCGACCACGGCGGTCTCCGGGGTTGGAGGTCCCTGTGCCCTTCTTCACCACCTTCGAGGTCAACCCCGGAACTCACAGTTACTGCGACGGCGCTGGAACCAATCGTATGGGCGTATGCCTTTCCATTGGAGACTTTAAGTGCCGTGGAGATGGGGGACCTGCTGCTTGGGTAACAGCTTCTCCCCCGAATCAACTTACCTTGGCTTTGGACCCTGGCGAGACCACTCCAGACCAGGCCGACACCAGAGTGCAACTCCATAGTCTCCTGAGACTGATGGATGCCTACTACTATGTGCCTGGGGAACATTCAGGCTTGTTTGCAATTGTGTTGCTCACGTAGCCCCACAAAATGGAGTGGCTTCATAAAATTAATTATGCCCAAGATTAACATCAAATTTCCGTCGGCATGATGGGCAAATAGCCTCGGCTACCATCATCTTTTTGTACGGTCACTGATAGTTGAGTGGATAGTTAAAGTCTTCTGTACACCAGTTACATAGTGCTCCTGGCAATATGGGTTCGAGTCACATCTGGGGTGTTGAGTTTTCAGTTGCATATATGCCTTGGGGACCATTCAGGCTTGTTCGCATTTGTGTTGCTCATGTAGCCCAACAAAATGAGGTGATTTGATAAAATTAACTATGCCTAAGATTACCATCAAAGTGCCATCGGTATTATGGGCAAATAGGCTAGGCTGCAATCATCTTTTGTACAGTCACTGATGGTCGTGTGGTTAAGGTCTCCTGTACACAAGTTGCATAGTGCTCCTGGCAATATGGGTTAGGGTCACTTCTGGGGAATGGAGTTTTCAGTTGCATATATGGCTGGGGACCATTTAGACTTGTTCGCATTTCTGTTGTTCACGTGGCCCGACAAAAAGAGGTGATTTGAAAAAATTGTCTATGCACAAGACTACCATCAAACTGCCGTCAGGATGATGGGCAAATAGCCTAGCCTACCATCATCTTTTGTATGGTCAATGATAGTCGAGTGGTTAAGGTCTTCTGTACACCAGTTGCATAGTTCTCCTGAAAATTTGGGTTCGAGTCACATCTGGGGTGTTGAGTTTTCAGTTGCATATATGCCTGGGGGACCATTCAGGCTTGTTCGCATTTGTGTTCCCCATGTGGTTATCTCCCCATGTGGCCCCACAAAATGACGTGATTTGATAAAAAAATAACTATGCCCAAGATTACCATCAAAATGCTGTCAGGATGATGGGCAAATAGCCTCAGCTTTCATCATCTTTTGTACCGTCAGTGATGGTTGAGTAGGTAAGGTCTCCTTTACACCAGTTACATAGTGCTCTGGACAGTATGGGTTCGAGTCACTTCTGGGGTGTGGAGTTTTCAGTTGAATTTATGCCTGGGGGACCATTCAGGCTTGTTCACATTTGTGTTGCTCATGTAGCCACACAAAATGAAGTGATTTGATAAAATTAACTATGCCCAAGATTACCATCAAAGTGCCACCGAAATAATGAGCAAATGGCCATGGCTACCATCATATTTTGTA